TGGTGGCGTAGTGCCTAAGACATCTGACTGCTAACCAGAGGTTGGCGGTTCAAACCCACCAGCCACTCCACAGAAGGCAATCTACTACCACCTTGGAAACCCAAAGGGGGTCGCTATGAGTTGGAGTCGACTCGATGGCAGTGAGTTTGGAATTTGTTTTTCTGTGCTGGACAAGGACCTCTGTTGGGATAGTGGTTAAGGAATTTGGTTGCTAATCAAAAGGTTGGTGGTTTGAACCCATCAACAACTCCGTGGAAGAAAAATGAGGCAGTCTGCTTCTGTAAAAGATTTATAGGCTTGGAAACCTATGGGGGAGTTCTGCTCTGTCCTATAGGTCACTGTGAGTCAGAATCAACTCAACGGCAGTGGGTTTTGTGATGGATGCTTGCGGTGTTTCCACCTTTTTTGCCATTATAAATGTCCATGATTATTTCTTTGGCTAAGTTCCTTGAAGCTAAATTGTTAGGACAAAGTGGTTTTTTGAAGCTTAAGTTACATATTGCCAAATTGCTCTCCAAAAAGGTTTAACCAGTTCTTATAGTAACCCCTAGGTGTGCTCCCCCTAGGGAGCTCTGGTAGCGTAATGCCTAAGGCATTTGACTGCTAACCAGAAGGCTGGCAGTTCAAATCCACCAGCCACTCCTCGGAAGGAAGGTTGTGCAATCTACTTCCGTAGTGATACTGCCTCAGAAACCCAAGGAGGGGTCGCTATGAGTCGAGTCTGACTCCATGGCATATAAAACAACAACAGAGAACTTAATATTTCATGTTGTTTTAATTTTGCATTTCTTGGACAGCTGGAGAAGCTAAACATGTCTTTTTGTGTTTGTTGACAGTTTTTCTCTTTTTTTTGTGACTTGCCTTCACCTATTCTTCTAATGTTTCTGCATTCTTCTTGTTGATTTTTAATAGTTCTTTATATATTAAGGTTATTCCCCTCTGCACATTGGATAGTCAGAGCAATTCCCAAACTCCCTAGAGAGTAGGAGACAGAAATGGACTCTGCTAGGGACTTACTGGGCACAGGTGCTTGGCCCCAGGACCCACATTCTGCGGAGGAACCCTGGTGTTGCGGGCAGCAAGAACATACAAGACAAGAGGGATAGTGGCGGGGAAAGCAGGAGAAGGTTTCAGAGCTGAAATCAAAGGCTCGGAGAGGCAAAGCCTTAATGGGAGGCAGATGGAGGAAACGAGGTTGCCCTTGCTGACAGGAGGGAGGTCAGGGGGCACAGAGCTTTCTAAAGATAGGAGCCTGGGCGATGGGCAGATGACAGGACCTGGCTCCATAGTGTGGTGACCGAGGGCTATGAAAGGGCAGGGGTCAGCTCCTCCCTCTGGCTTGCCCAGACCCTCTCAGGCCCAGAGCTGGAAGAGCTGCAACGACATTCAACTCCCAAACGCCAGAAGTATGAAAGAGTCCCACAGACCTGGGCTGGAGTCTCGACCTAGCTTTGCAACTAAGGACAGGCCCTCAAATCTCTCTGATCCTCAGGTTCCTTGCTTTTTAAAATGGAGTACTAATGTTGCTGGGTAACGCTGAGTTGATTCTGACTCCTGACTCATACCTTCCCCGTGGGACGGAGTAGAACTGCCCCGCAGCGTTTTCCAGGCTGTAATCTTTATGGGAGCAGATCTCCAGGTCTTCCTCCTGCAGAGCTGCGGGGTGGGTTCGAACCACCAACAGTCAGCAGTGCAGTGCCTGACTGCGGCACAGGGCTCCTGGGAATACCAGTAGTCTCTGACTTACAACAGGGTTCCACTCCAACGACTCCATTGAAAACTGGTTCTGCTGTAAGTTGAATATCTTTTTTTTTTTTATTATTATTATTGCCTATGATCAGGGAGCTCTGGTGGCGTAATGCCTAAGGCATTTGACTGATAACCAGAAGGCTGGCAGTTCAAACCCACCAGCCACTCCTCGGAAGAAAGGTTGGGCAATCTACTTCCATGATGATACTGCCTCAGAAACCCAAGGAGGGGTCACTATGAGTTGGATCTGAATCGATGGCAGTGAGTTGTGTGTGTGTGTGTGTGTGTGTGTTTTATTATCAGTATCATTATAAATCTGATATAATATAAATCTTTGCTTATCTTTGTGGGTTGTCATGAGAATGGTCACACCTGCAAATTATACACTGCAGCACTGTATGTGGTACATATTACTAACAATACGATGTACAAAAAAAAAAAAAAAGGTAGTAAATTCAAGCTCACGGTAACTTGAATACATCCTAAGTTGGGAACTACCTGTACTGATATAACCTAAATTGGTGAGGTCCTTAATGAGGTCAGCATATCAAGCGTCTAGCTCAGTAGAAAACCAAAACCAAATCATACCCATTGCCATCAAGTCAATTCTGACTCCTGGAGACCTCATGTCTTTCAGGGTAGAGCTGTTCCATTGGGTTTTCTTGGCTATAATCTTTAAGGAAGCACATGGCCAGGCCTTTCTTCTTCGGAGCCACTGGGTGGGTTCAAACCACAGCCTTTGGGTTAGGAGCCAGTCCAGAAGCACTTGAGTCACCCAGACACAAGCACCAAAAAAAAAAAAAAAAAGAAGAAGAAGAAGAAAAGAAAAAAAACCACTGCCATTGAGTCGATTCTGACTCACAGTGATGGTCAGGGTAGAACTGCCCTCTAGGGTTTCCAAGGATGTAAGGATGTAATCTTTACAGAAGCGGATTGTCACATCTTTCTCCCATGGAGCAGCTGGTGGGTTTGACCTTTAGGTCAGCAACCGAGTGCTTAACCACTGTGCCACCAGGGCTCCTTAGCAGACAGAAAGGACTCAGTAAATAAAAGGTCAATCTTACTGTTGCCCTCAGTGAGACGGACTGACCCAGTGGCTGCAACGATGGGCTCTGGCCTAGCAATGACTGTGGGGATGGCGCAGGACCGGGCAGCGTTTCGACCCGTTGTCCACAGGATCACTGTGAGTTTGACTCCACGGCGTCTAACAACAACAACAACTCTTATTGTTACCGTAACTGCCGAGCCTCACCCCCTGTCCGATGGCGGAGCCCATCAACAGCCTCAAAGAGCTTCCCAATGGATCCAAGACTGTCAGAGCTGGAAGGGCCTTCAGGATACAGGTGAGGAAACTGAGGCCCAGATATGGCAAAGGCCATCCATGGAGCCAGGGCAGAAGCCAGCCTCAGACCCAAGTCATCCCACCCAGCTCTGACTAGGATGATGTCCTGGTCTGGACTGTAGTCTAGACAAACTTCCTCCAGTCGCTCACTGTCACTCATTGTGTGTCCTTGGGCGGTCAACCCCTCCAGGAACCTCAGTCTCCTCATCTGTGTGATGGAGCAAGCATCTCTGAATCAAATGAGAGAAGAGCTGCAAAGCCCCTGGGTTGGTCATGGCCTACTGCCCTATTCAAGACGTTGGGATCAATTTGTAGGGGAAGAGTTTCTGGGGGATGGGGATGAAACTTTAGAGCATATTCCCCCACACACACACCCAGGGTAATGCTTGGGGAAACTGAGGGACACTTGGAGAAAGTATCTCAGTGTTAGTAAATGGGAATTCAGACCCAGGTGCCCAATTTGATTTTTCAAGACAAGCTGGAAATCCCCATTTCTATGTGAGTAAAATTTCCCTATTTAACTCAAAAAGATACTTCTTTGCTGGGGCAAGAGCCAAGGCAGGAGTGTGCTGGGAACTGTGGACCCTGCAGTGGGAGTTCCTTCCGAGAAGCCCCTCCTCTCATCACTTCCTTAGGTAATGGAGAGAGAGGCAAATCGTGGTGTTTTGAGGGCCTGATGGGAGTCTTGATGGCTTTTGATCAATAACAATAATATTGGGTAGCAATTATCCAGCCCCTACTGCATACTTGGCCCTTCTTGGTCCCTGGAGCTGGACTCGAGCATGCTCTGGATTGGTCTTTCTCACAAAGTCTAATTTTGCTCATGGTGGAGGCCTTATTCTCATTTCTGTGAATAATCATAAAATATATTGGGTTGCCTTTGAATGCTGCCTATAGCCTTTTTTTTTTTTTTTTCTTGGCTCAACAACTCCTGCAGCCTGGCAGGAGCCATGCAGACTCCTAACCCTGCAAGGCTGCGTTATGTGAACAGCTGGGATGGAAATCAACTGTGCAGAATTACAAGGCATCAGGGATCAGTCGTGGAACTGAGAGTGTAGGGGCGCAATTATGGTACCATGACCCCACAGCAGTGGCCCCAATCTTTGGTTCCTTTCTGCCAGACTGGACTTCAGTCTGCACTTACAGAGCAATTGATTCAGGACCTTAGGTGCATGCAATCATTCCCATTTTACAAAAGAGGAAATGAAAGTTCATCAAAGTGGAAAATGGCAGGAGCCGGCAGCCAGGCTGGGCCAGGAGCTTCTAAAGACAGTGAATAAGGAATTGTCTCCACTGCCCCTTGTGGGGCGTTTGGGAATGTGGACAGGGTGGTCTTCATCATTCCAATCAACATGCCACAGGAGCAAAGGTGTGGCCATAGCCCCTCCTGCGGATGGCGGGCGGAGGGACAGAGAGCTAGGCCAAGCCGAAAGTAACGGTGATCCGGATCCGAGCCGCACTGGGCTCGAAGACGCCCAAGGCTGAGTCACCACCCTAGCCCCAAAGACCCGGGCAGCGCCCGAGCCTGGGCGCGTAATGGGAGAAGCTCGGACGGCGCCCAGCGGCCGTCGACGGGATCGCAGGGTCGGGGCAGGAAGATACAAAGTCCAGTCGGGCTTTGGTTTGGCTGTGAGTCCTAGCGGTGTCTTTCGCGGTGGCAGTGACAGGGCCGCCGGGGGTTGCGCTCCAGGATGCGGACGCGGTCCTCCGAGTTCGCAGGGGGCGCTGTCGGCATGCAACTATCTTTCCTGGGCCGGTGCGGGTTGGAAGCGCAGAAGCCACTTCCGGTTCGTAATAGCTAGTTGGACGGTGAATCGGACCCGGTCTAAATTCGGCGGCTGGACCTTCAAAGACTGGACCAACAGGGCCCAGGCTAGGCTCGCGGCCACTGGAACACGCTCAGTAGTCGTCTCGGCCTCGGCTGAAAGCGCGGCTCCTGCAGCGCCCGGGGCTGCCGCAATGCCATTTCTGCATGGCTTCCGAAGGATCATCTTCGAATACCAGCCGCTGGTAGACGCGATTCTGGGCTCCTTAGGGATACAGGACCCCGAGCGGCAAGAGCCCCTAGACGGGTAACTCGCTTTTCTCCTGCAGGCTCTGACCCAATGCTGCTTTCCTCTTTGTCACTACAAGCTTGGTGGAGCCGGGAGGCCGGAGTTGCGTGGCTTCCAACGCGCGAGCTCCTCCGCACTGACCTATATCCTGCCTTTTTAGGGTGGTGGTTACTCTCGGCCAGCGCAGAGGAGGGAGGGAGGGCGTCCGCTCAGGGCTCCACCCTATGCGCTCCCTACCCTGTACCCTCCACCTGGAACATGGAATCTTTGAGGGCATCATTTTTACCCAAGGGCAGTGTGCACAGGCAAATTTTGTAAATGACTTTGCATCTTATAGGAGCTCTGTTGGCGTAGTGGTTAACACATTCGGCTGCTAAGCAAAAGGTCGGCGGTTCGAACCCAGCAGCCGCTCCGCGTAAGAAAGATGAGGCAGTCTGCTTCTATAAAAATTTTCAGCCTTGGAAACTCCATAGGGCAGTTCTACTCTGTCCTGTAGGGTCGCTGTGAGTCGGAATCAACTCAATGGCAGGGGTTTGGTTGCATTTTATATACCGGAGAGCAGATCTATTTATGAATTTATGGGAAAGGTGTTAGAAAGTGAGCCTGTCTGTCAGTATTCTGTACCCACAGCGGTATGCGCTTGGGATGCATCACTGAACTAAGTAGAAACCGCACCCTTTATGTCCCAGAGGAGAGAGGCTGACAACGATGGTAAGTGAATTGTATAGTGTATTAGGTGCAGTGAGGATGAGAGCGCAGAGGAAAGGGGGTCAGGTGTATGTGTTGGGGGTGGGGATCAGTTGGAATTTCAGCCACTGTGGTTGTGATGAGTCTGTCTGGGAGCTTTGGTGGAAACGTAGGCCTTCCTTATCACTACCACAGCTCTGCAAATAATGAAGCTTGCTGTGAAAATGCAGTACAGGGCGTCTCCTTGACTGTGTGGTCATTCTGGGTGGGATAGGGCAGCAAAGGGGGCTGCAGGGCCTTTTGGGAGATCCAGAGGTCATGCACGAACTGTTTCGGAATGTTAGCTTGGCATCCGTGGTGTGCTGGGCACTCTTCAGAGGTTGAGATGGGTATGGGGGATGAGATGGCACCCTGTCTAGGCGGTAAGGTTCAAATGTTGAACCAGACAACTGTAGGAACTCGGATCGAGAGGGGCCAATGGGAGCTCTGGGAGGGGGTAGCCTCACCCAGGGGAAGCAGCGGCAGTCTGAAGGAGCCTGGCATGTGTCAGAGCTGTGTGCAGAGGCACCGAGCTGCCCATGGGGCTGAGTTCTTAGGGGAAGCTCTGGCAGTTCTTGGTAGTTAGTTCTGGCCAGGAAGTGGGGAAATGGGTTTGGAGCAAGTGAGACTGGGGAGGTAGGTGGGTCGGGGCTGAGGTGTGGGGGACTTTATGTACATACAGCCTTTGGAAGACTGGGAGGCTCAGTGTCTCAGTGTGAGGGGACCAAAAGAGGGCTCCTGCTGCCCTGGCCGCAGGAACTGCCCTGGCCGGTCTCACATCCTCCGCAGCTCGGGGACAGTCAGTGTCTTTGAGTGTGAAGATCTTTTGGGGGAAGGAACATCAGGGTCTGCTTCTGGCTTCTGGTCTTTAGCGTTCCCGTCAGGCCTATCAGCCGGAATATGAGTGTCTGTACCCAAGCCAGGAACTAAATTCTGTTGGCAAGCTGGGGACCAGGTTGGGAGGAGAATGGAGACAGACTGAGTTCTTTGTCAACAAACCCAAGGATTCTGCTGCAGTTTAAAAGATGCCACTTGGCCCTTTCTCGACCATCAACCTCCCGAGAGGCTTTCTGTCCAACAGAGATGGGGTTCTTGCCCTCTGTGGGTGATGACAGCATGCGGGCAGTGGGCACCAGCTGGGTGGTAGGGTCCTTTGCCACAGGGTGCCCCTGCCATCTGGTCCAACAGTTGTTCCTACCGTCAACTGGTCTGCCTTTCTTGCCCCAGGCCCAATTATGTCACCAGCGAGGCAAGCCGAATCCTTGTTCTCACTGAGCTGCTGGAGAGGAAAGCCCACTCCCCATTTTACCAGGAAGGTGTGAGCAACGCCCTGCTGAAGATGGCTGAGCTGGGGCTGACGCGGGCGGCGGATGTTCTCCTACGGAATGGGGCCAACCTCAACTTTGAAGGTCAGCTGGTGCCTAGAGGAGTTAAGGGTGGGCAGTTGTATGGCTCTACCTTGGGTGGGCGACCAGGCGTTAGGGCCCTGCTTTTACTGTTCTCTTAGGAGCTGCCTCTCATTTTTTTACCGGAAGAGGCCCACAATGGGTACATCCCGTGCTCTGCCAGCTTTCAAATGGCTCTTAGCCTCCCCAGTGTTCCAAGAGCAAGTTCGTTGCTCCTTCTACTGTGTGATTGATTTAACAAGCTTTCCCCAGCTCCCAGACACAGGCATTGATATTATGAAAATGTGGCTGCTGGCACTGTGCCCAGAGCTAAGGAAAGGTACCTTCCTGCCACTTACTCTGAGTCATCTTGCATTTTTGTTCATGCCACAGGAAGAGGAGAAAACAGATAAGCCACATTGGGCATAGATCCTGGTAGAACCATGTTGGTCCCTAGCTTGTAAGTGCAGGGGTGGTGATGGAGTCTCTCTCTTCATTTCCTCTTTCACCTGGGCAAGCAGGGCTGGTCCAGAGGCAGGGGTCTCTGTACTAACACAAGATGCTCCCAGCCATGCCTTTCCTTCCCATTTATGGAAGGTTCAGAGGCTGCTGGGCTCCTGGTGGGTCAAGGAGCTGAGGAAGGAGGGCCCGTTCAAAATCAGACCTTGCATAACTTGGCTGTTACTACCAAGTTCAAGGAATAAAGCAACCGAAGAGTTACGTTCCACCTTCCTCCCAGTACCCTCTGAGGAGATGCCCCATTTTATGTCCCCATTTTACAGAAGAGGAAGCTAAAGCCCAAACAGGTTAAGTAATGTGCACACCATAACGCCCCAGGACCTGAAGTGAAGTGACTTTAGTGTCTGGTGAGGACAGCTCTGTCCTGACCTCTCCTGGTGATAGGAGCCTGGGCCTGCAGCTTCCAGGGACTTGGGGTAGGAGTGCCAGGGCTGGGCTTCAAGGCCAGGTCCTGGAACCCTGTGAGGATGTGCCAGAGCCTTCATGAACTGTGACTGTGCCCTCAGACCCAGTCACCTACTACACTGCCCTGCACATCGCCATCCTGCGAAACCAGCCCGACATGGTGGAGCTGCTGGTGCGTCACGGGGCCGACATTAATCGGAGGGATCGGGTAAGCAGCCAGGTGCATCCTGCTCTGAGCGGGGCACTTGTGGTGGGAAGCCCTGAGCACTGTCATAGGCCCCCAGGCCAAGCTGGTCTGTGTTCTCTTGGCTCAGATTCACGAGAGCAGCCCCTTGGACCTGGCCAGTGAGGAGCCAGAGCGCCTGCCCTGCCTGCAGCGCCTCCTGGACCTTGGAGCAGATGTCAATGCGGCTGACAAGCATGGTGGGTTTACCCGCAGAGCAGCAGGACAGCCCTGGGCCTCAGCACCTGGTGGGGGAAGAGAGCCCAGTGTAACCAAGGGCCTACAGTTAGAGGGCCCTGGCACACAAGCCAATTTTTTTTTTAATTGTGATTTGGTGAAAGTTTACAGAGCAAATTCACTTTCCATACAGCAGTTCACACACACGTTATCTCCTGACATTGACTACAATTTACCCCAATGCAACAGCTCCCCTTCCACTTCCTCCCGATAGTTACCTCTTCCCTGTGTCCATCCTTCCATGCACTCCTGCCCCCTGAGCTGTCTCCCTATGCATACACAGCCATTCTTTCTCCCATGATTGTTCTCTCCAAGAAATGTATCTACCTCAGGTAAATGTTCAACTCGTATCCCTGTCTTTTGTTTGGCTGGAAGCCACAGGTGTAGGTTCAGTTCCAGACCTGAAGGGCAGCTAGGGGCCATAGTCTCAGTGGTTCCACCACTCACAGGTTGTCTTTGTAGGTGGAAGGGTGGTGAGGGAATGATGGCTTCCTGTCGGGAGAGACCTGCCCAGGTCTCAGGTTAGCATTTCTTTGCCCAGAAAAGTCCTCCGTCTCCTGGCCCTTCTCCCACTTTGTGCAGGTGGAAGAGAAGGTCAGAGTCTGTCACCATCAGCCCAGCAGAGAAGTCAGGCCTTTTGCCGCATTCACGTGTTTGGTCCTTTAGGTGTCTGTGCTTGATCCCAGCTTCCTGGCCTCCCGCTCACCTTCACTCTCCCCTTTCCTCCCCAGGAAAGACTGCTCTTCTCCACGCGTTGGCCAGCAGTGATGGGGTGCAGATCCACAATACTGAGAACATTCGGCTCTTGCTGGAGGGAGGTGAGCCTTGTCCTTCCCGGAGGAATCCCCGGCCTGTTCCCAGGCCTCGCCCTTCGGCACAGCACTTAACCTGGTTTCTCTAGGCTCCCCCAACCCCCTGTAAATGTAAAGTGTTCATCTGTAAGGTCTTAAAGCCTTCTCATACCTCTGGTCTCCTGGTGGCTCTTCTAGGGGCAGACGTCAAGGCTACCACCAAAGATGGGGACACTGTGTTCACCTGCATCATCTTCCTGCTCGGTGAAACAGTGGGAGGGGACAAAGAGGAGGCCCAGCTCATCAACCGCTTCTGCTTCCAAGTAACGCAGCTGCTGCTCGCTCATGGGGCAGACCCCAGTGAGTGCCCAGCCCACGAATCCCTCACCCACTTCTGCCTCAAGAGCTTCAAACTGCATTTCCCCCTGCTGCACTTCCTGCTGGAGTCTGGCGCCTCCTATAACTGCTCCGTGCATGGGGCGTCCTGCTGGTCTGGCTTTCACATCATCTTTGAGAGGCTCTGTTCCCACCCGGGCTGCACTGAAGACGAGAGCCACGTGGATCTCCTGCGCAAAGCTGAGACCGTTCTGGATCTCATGGTGACTAACTCCCAGAAACTCCAGCTGCCTGAAAACTTTGACATCCACCCTGTGGGCAGCCTAGCAGGAAGGATCCAGGCCCTGCACTGCTCCTTGAGGCAGCTAGAGAGCTACCCTCCACCCCTCAAGCACCTGTGTCGTGTTTACATCCGGCTGTACCTTCAGCCGTGGCCCGTGGATGTCAAGGTCAAGGCCCTACCTCTACCTGACAGGCTCAAGTGGTACCTCCTCAGTGAGCACAGTGGCACCCTTCAAGATGACATCTGACAGGTCCCAGGCGACCCTCCAGCTTTCAAGCCCCAGACTAAAGGGAACAGTGGTTTAGGCAGCTGAAGTCAGCCTGTTGCTGGTTAAGTACCTATGACCACCTTAGTGGAGAGGTCTTTGATCCTGGGAATCTTTGTTTTCATCTATCAAATAGTGCAGGTTGGAGAGGGGACCGCTTTAATGAGTACAGAGCCAGCCAGGTAGAGCCCAGCAACCATGAACATTCCAGGGGTAAAAGCTGTAGTTCTCTGTCTTCCAGGGAGACTGCTTACCTCCCTTCCAGCAGCGGCCCCAAGTCTCAACCCATGCAGGAGAAAGGGAACAGCGTTTAGATTTGGGAAAAGCTTACTCTCTCTTCATTGGAGGGGAACCCAGTGCATTTAGAGAAGCAGGCAAGCAACCAAGTCTAGGCACTCTTGAGGGCTGCAGGAAACAGCTTCTTCCTGCGTAGACACAGCTGAAGCTGGAAGGAAGCCAGGGTAGGTCCTGTGGGTTTGAACCGGCCCGAGTCCCTTGCCCTCTGCCTCTTCACTCCAGGTTCTGCCATAAATGAGTGCTTTTGGTGAGCTGGGAGAGAAAGCGCATGAAGACCACCAGAAGCTCTTCTGGGTGTTGTAAGCTAAGCTGATCCCTACCAGCTTCTGCAGCTCTGGGGGCAGGTCACCTGCAGCCTTGCCCACCAAAGCACTAGGGCTGCGCTCTGGTGGCAGCTGTGCCAAATCCAGGGTTAGCCCTTCCCCCAGTGTCTCCTATTGTGATGGGCTCACCTGATGGAAAAAGTCGCCAAGATTGAAAGCTGAACCCTCCCCAAAGTCGTATCGGAGTCACATTGGTCTTATGAATTGTGCAAAATTATATGCTTTGGGGAATAAGCTAAAGCAACTATATATTTATAAAATTAAACTGATCTCACTCGGCCTTAGTCCTTGTGTAACGTTCCCGCCTACCCCTCTCTCCTGATTCAGGATAAAGAATCCTGTGGCAGCCAGGAAGGAGGTAGGCACGAGTGCCGGCCCTTGGGTACCGTTCCCAAGTAGTGTGATTCTACTGTCCAAGTACAGAAAGCACTACTCCAGACTACCTAGGGCCTTCACAGTATAGGGATTCACCCCTTTTATTTTTGTCTGAAAATGCCTGCCATGGAGGAGCCATAGGCATAGTGAAGAATGAGGTCACAGAAGTTTCCCTTTGCTGCAGGCTATTTTGACTGTCACATTCATTATGGACACCAGGGCCCCATCACCAAATAGGACGCAGAAACATGAACATTCCCATAAGTTGCACAATGTGGCTGATTCCTGGTGGTTCTCCCAGCCAGGAATGCAGAAATACCCACAGGCTCACTGCCAGGCTGGCTTCTCGAGGCCATGCCTCACCCCCCTTAGGTAAAAGACCACAGTTGTTCAAGTCCACAACAGCAGGGTTACTCTACCCATGGCTGAAAGGCCAGGTGGTGACAGCCAAGGCCCAGAGGACTTCAGCTTCTGATGTGTATTCCCACATAGGGAGCACCTGCAGCCAGAGGCTCGGCTCCCTGCCTCTCAAGGTGGATTAAGCCAGGTTCCTTGCATGCCCCACAGGGTTCCTTATAAAGAGTCTAGTGAGTAGACGGCAGACAGGTATATTTAGTGGCCTCTCGACACCCCTGAACCATCAACATGGAGCCCCTGGCTCTTGCAACTTCCAACTCCCTCCCCACCCCAACACCGGTCCCTGCTGGGCCTCATCTGAGGGCAAAGCTATAGACGTGGTAAATCTCATCAGGGAGGCCCTCCTGTCTCTCCTCAGCCAGGAGGTTGAGGCCTGCACTGCGGATAATCCTACGGACCACCTCCAGGTCCCGGCACACGCTGCTGTCCACGTCATCCAGGATCACACCCTCCTGGGCCATGTTGTCTTTGATGACAATGATGCCATTGGGACGCAGACCTCGCTTGCAGCGCCGCAGGAACTCAGCCAGGTGCTGATCGGTCAGGTGGCCTGGGGAAGGTAGAGGCCCTGGTTACTAGGGGAGTGACGCAGCCTCCACTCACTGAGCACTGTTTGTGCCCAGCATTTTGTCAGGTGCTTACCACACAGGACACCTCACTAACTCACAGCAGTCCTGAGGGGTTTTACTGAATTCTACTGAGTGTACATGGTCTTGGGTTTTAGCCTTGCAGGGCTCCCAAAAAGAAATCTTTCCTTGCACTCAAGTTTCAGTCAGAGGCTTCTTGGGACCACGTGACACAGGCCAGAGTGTTCACAGTAGAACCGTGCTGCCAGCCAGGGGCCTGCCACTGAACTGGCCCCCAGGAGCGGCATCCCAGCTCAGCCTCAACGCGCTGCTGAGTGAGCGAGTGCAGGACGGTGGCGAAGCAGAGTTTGCTCGCCGGCACCAGCCGATGTGGAAGCTTTGCAGACTGTTACTAAAAACTCTCGTTTATAAAAACTCATTGTCCCTTTCTTTGAGTGCAGTTAAGTGGCCTTTCACTTTTTGACAAAAACTGCCCCTAAATGGATTCCAAAAAAGACTGAAGGAGATCCCCTTTTAGGTTGAATATCTAGAACGGTCCTGAGAAGCATAAAGCAGGACTCGAGTCCTCCTCACTGGCCTGGTTGCAGCAGGAGTACTGGGGCCCAGCTCCCAGGACCTTGTGGGGAACCTCAGTGGCTGGAGACTTACAGGAAGGCGTAGAAGGGAAGTATGATCCTCACCTATCACCCACTGGATCCAGATAACATCATAGGCATTAGGCTCTGGGCTGAAGTCCTGGAGACCACAACAGAAGTAATTCCTCACTCTCTTGCCTTCTTCACCCAGGTAGGTCTTAGCTTTAGCCAGGAAGTCCTCCGTCACATCAACCATGTCCACCACTTTGAACAATGGCAAGAGCAGCCGCTTGGTGATCCTTCCAATGCCAGCTCCACAGTCCAGGGCATAGGAAGTCCCTGTCTTGTTTGGACCTTCCTAAAAAGCAGAGAAAGGTATAATCTGTAGGGTAGGGTGGGAAAGCCAGGGCCCTATCACTCCACGAAAGATTTGAATCAGGACGCGGTACAAGCTATTAGCCCAGGCTGGTAGGGAATGCCAGTGGATGTAAGCATAGGACATTCTCCTTTATCTGGGCCACATTTTTATAATGAAAGCTGACTTCCACTTAAAGGTGACAGCTTCAGGGTGTGCACTAACTTACTCTCCCTTCTGAGACACTGTTAAGATGACAGCACGGGATAAAAAGAGCCAAACCGTGAAAAGGAAAGAAGAGGGACAATCTGAATAAGGGAGTTCAACAAATTTGGGAAGATGGAACGTGGGTGGAGGGGAGACCCTGGATAGAGCAGGGGAGCAAGCAGCAGCCTCCAGTGCTTGTCAGGGGAAGGAGCCAAGAAGAGACCAGGACCCAAGGGCTTCAGACAGAGATCCCGGCCTGTGCATAGGAGGGCAGGGGTGAACACTGGGCTAAAACCACAAGTAACTAGGAGGAGTCTCCAAACAGCAGAATAGGTAACACTCATAGCCCCAAATGCCCACAAACAGGGCAGGAGAGTAAAAATGTCATCCCTGACAAAACTCGGAACAGTCTGAGAGAAGACTTCTCCATTCCAGCACTGGGGGTCCTCAGCATAACACCCAGATCTGGCTGGTCTAAGTCCACAACCCAGAAGTCTCACCCCCTGTACTCAAGCCTTGGTGGTAAACACAGGTAACTGAAGACCCTGTAAAGGGTGGCGTCCCATGCAAACCAGGCAGTGCCACCAGAGCCACAGCCTCTCCTCCTGGAGAGCACACCAGACCTGCCTACCCTCAAAAACCTCTGCAGGAACTTCCGGGAGCTGTTGATGTCGATGCTGGAGATGTGGCCGTACCCCCCGAGCATGCCGTCCACTGTGGGTGGGACTTCCTTCCAGTATGTCTTGGCCTTTGAGTAGAATTGTTTCTCATCTTCTATCACCTCGCTTGTCATGTTGTCATTAACTATGTCTCTGCTCAAGTGCTCAGCAACAATGCCTCTCCTGTGCAAGAAAGAGAGGAGAGAATCAGCCCTGTCCAGTTACCTGGCAGAAAGGCTCCCTTGGGTAGAGGGCCAGTCTCACGCATGCTTTGCTAGTCACACAATCTTGCTTGATGTAGAGGAATGTTCAATATCTCAAATCTGCTCCTGTCCCTTGGATGACAGTACCTTCAGTCTCTTGCATTCAAATCATTCTGCAAAGCTAACTTCACATCAAAGCAAGAGGCTGAAAGTCCTGGCTTCTAGTTCTTTAGTGACACCTGACTAAATAGCTTCTGACTCCAGGGGAAAGATAATCCCACTCTCCATTGAGGAAGGACAGCAAAGCAAGGAATTCATTTCAGCTGATTCTAGGAGGGACTGAGGTGTCCCCATGCCTCCATTTCCCCTCTCACTTAAGAACATAGAAACAAGCTCACCATGGGGTCTGTTCTTTTACTAAGAATGAGCAGGACTCTATGCCAGGTACTGCACTATGAACCAGTGACACAGCCAGACAGTAAAAACAGAAACACGTAATTACAACAGTGGTAAGGGCTGCGAAGGAGAAAAAGAAGAAGAGTATTCATCAGAGGAATGCTAACTCAGCTGGGGGGAGATCAGGGAAGCTATCCTGGAGGAAGCAACATATAAGCTGAGACTAAAGGATGAGGAGTTAGCTAAGTAGAGCGCAAGGATATTGCTCCAGGAAGCAAAGAGCATGAAAAGTCTCTGCAAGTGGAAACTCAAGCCCATGGATCACATTTAGTAGCTTGGACTTCACCCTCAAGAGTATGAATTTGAACCACTCTAAAGTGAAGCAGGCACGAGATCTCTGTTTTGAAACACTGTGTTGGCAGCTATGTGGGCAAGAGTGCAAGCAGTCGAGATCAGGAGCCTATTACCATGAAGACTAGAACCAGAGAGATGTTTATCTGTGTTTTAGTGACCATGCAAAGGCATTCAGCTGTGTAGACCATAACAAATTATGGATAATACTGTGAAGGATAGGAATGCTGGAACACTTAATGTGCTCATGCAGAAACTGTACATAGACAAAGCAGCCGATGTTTGAACAGAACAAGGGGCTACTGTATGGTTTAAAATCAGGAAGGGTGTGCTTCAGGTTGTATCCTTTCACCATACTTACTCAAATCTGTATGCCAAGCAAATGACCCAAGAAGCTGGACTACATGACAAGCACAGCATCAGGATTGGAGGAAGACTCATTAACAACCTGTGATATGCAGGTGACACAACCTTGCTTGCTGAAAGCAAAGAGGACTTGAAGCATTTGTTATACTTCAACATGAAGAAAACGAAAAATCTTCAGAACTAGATCAATAAGCAACATCATGATAAATGGAGAAAAGATTAAAGTTGCCTAAGATTTCATTTTACTTGGATCCACAATCAACGCCCATGGAAGCAGCAGGTCAAGTGTGGTAGTTGTTTGTGTATCAGCTTGGCTGGGTCTGGCTGAGTGGCCAGGCTGCTGGATGTAGTTATTCCCCATGGTGAGACTGGTAATTAACTCCATGGTGGAATTTATTGGAGCAGGTGAATAGCTGCTTTAGGGATGTGGTCTGCTTCCAGTAGGTAAGAAGCAACTTTGAGGAAGGTCTCCAGCTTATGGCACGCTTGAACACTGCATGTAGCCAAGTCGTTGTTCAGCAGCCTGCCATGCTCTGCTGATCTTGGGACTTTCAATGGACTTGAATCAATGGCCTGCCATGTGGTTTAGTAGTATCGGGACTGTGCCTTTTCACTTGTGGACTTTGGATTTGTTAGTCTCAGCAGCCAGCAGCTGCCTGAGTGAAGAGATGCCTCTAGCTTCAGTGGGCTGGGACCAAGAGACAGAGCTGAAGCCCAAAGTCAAGGGGCTTTCACCCAGCCCCTAGAGCATGGCACTTGGAACTCGCACTTCTGCCTCCAAAACTGTAAGAAAATAAACTTCGATTTGTTCAAGCTATCCCATTTGTGGTATATTCCTGTCAGGGCGGCTCTAGGTAACCCAAAATATCAAGAAATCAAATGATGTACTGCATTAGGCTAATGTGCTCCAAAAGACCTCTTTAAAGTGTTAAAGAGCAAAGATGTTACTTATTAACAACCTGTGATATGCAATGACACAACCTTGCTTGCTGAAAGCAAAGAGGACTTGAAGCATTTGTTATACTTCAACATAAAGAAAACGAAAATCCTCAGAACTAGATCAATAAGCAACATCTAAGGGCACCTGACCCAAGCCATGGTATTTTCAATTACCTCATATACAAGTAAAAGGCGGACAACAAATACCGAAGACCGAAAAAGAATTGATGCCTTTGAATTATGGTGGCAAAAAATACTGTATGGGCTGCCAAAAGGACAAGCAAATCTGTCTTACAAGGACAGCCAGAATGTTCCTTAGAAGTGAAGATGGTGGAATTTCTTCTGACGTACTTTGGACATGTTATCAGGAGGGACCCGTCCCTGGAGAACATCATGCGTGGTAGAGGGCTGGAAAAAAGAGGAAGACCCTTAATGAGATGCAATGACACAGTGGCTGCAAGAATGGGCTCAAGCACAGCAAGGGCTGTGAGGATGGTGAGGATGGTGCACGAGCAGGTGGTGTTTTGTTCTGTGGCACACAGGGTCGCTGAGTTGCTAACCAACAGGACAGCACCTACCACTACCACTGTCATGTGGAGAGGGAATTACGAAACAGCTGACAACGTCCTGGCAGCAGAGTGAAGGGCCTCCACACTCACCAGGAGAGTGAGGTGACTTGTCAGGAAGGAAGACGGGGCAATCTACTTCCGTAGTGATACTGCCTCAGAAACCCAAGGAGGGGGTCTCTATGAGTTGGGTCTGACTCGAAGGCACATTAGCAATAACAAATACAAGGCACAAAAGCTGAGGAATGGGAGCCATAAAGTTCTATGGGAGTGCAAAGGATGGAGGAATCCTTTCTGAATGGAGGTGGGGGCAGCAGCCCTGAGAAGACAACTGCTATGCCTGCCCTTGAAAGACAAGGAGTGCTCTGGCTAATGCAGAGGCAATATAGCATGGCAGGGCGTGTGGACTGATGGACGGGCCAGCTAACACGCAGACAGAGAATAATGTGGGAGATGGGCCTAGAAAGGCAGACTGGGCCCGGATTGCGGGGGGCCCCCGAGTACATGCTAGGGGCTATGGGTCTAGTCTGTCAATAGGAGAAACCAATCAACTGAGAGTTTCTGAAGGATGAGGGGGTATGTGTGACACAATGTGAGGCAGAGCAGTGGGGTAGATCAAGCAGCGTCGAGAGCAGTGGCAACAACCACAGCCGCTGTAGCTTACGGGTGCTGGACATGTCCTAAGCACTTTTCATCTACCACTGACTCTTCCTCACGAATGACCTCATGTCAGTGCAGGGCAGCCATTGTTCTCCATTTTGTGACATATTGTAAATCCTACTCTCTATGCCTGTTTAGAAGGCGCTCTGGTAGTGCAGTGCCTAAGGCATTTGACTGCTAACTAGAAGGTTGGTGGTTCAAACCCCCCAGCCACTCCACAGAAGGAAGACTGGGCAATCTACTTCCGTAAAGATTTACCATCTTGGAAACCCAAGGGGGTCTCTGTGAGTTAGAATCAACTCTGTGGCAGTGACTTTGGTTTTGGATTTTTTGTGCCCATTAGGGTAGGATGTATCTTGAGTCCCACCTTGCTGGAGTGGTGACCTGAGTCACCTTGAGGGTATATGTATGAATGGCTGGGAAAGTTCCCTCCTCTTGCTCTGGTTCTGCATTTAGTTTGTCACCATCTCACCCCTAGACTTGAGACAGCAGCCGTCATCTGACCCGCTGATTTGGGTTTGCCAGACTCTGCAACCTTGTGAGTTGGGGGAATCCTCCAGGCCTACCCACAGACCTGGGACTTGCCAGTCTGCTCCACCACCACCACATCAGCCGTTTCCTTAGGAGTCTGTGAGTTCTGTGAGACGTTACATCAAAATACTGAACCCAAAGACAGGAAGGAGAGTACTGAGTGGAGGAGGAGTTGATGTCGGAGATGATGGAGTGGCACAGCAATTTGGAAAAGCTGGACGTTTGGGACATCTTTAACCTCTGCCTCATAGAGACAGGCCTTGCGCTGATCTTTCTAAAAGAAATTGTTCAAGCAGTCAAGTACCACAATCACCCGTACTTTGTAGATACAGGAACTGATACACTTGGATGTGAGGCGACCTACCCAGGGGCAAGAGGTCTGTGTACAAGCCCTAGGCCTTGACTGCTCTTGCCATGTGGTCAGTTTGTTCTCAGTATGTGGGTCTCGGCTTAGGGGTTACTTCTGCAAAGAGGGCCTCCGGACCAGCTTTTCTAAAGTGGCTTCCTAACACCCTTATCCAGTCACTATGTTTTGCTGCCTGCAATTGTGTATTTCTACCAGAAACTGTGTTACTCACTTCCTGTGTTACATACCAGAATGTAAGCTCCAGAGGGCAGGTGTGTTCCAACACCTAACCCCCCGGAGTCTGCAGTATTGACAAGAAGAACGAAGGGCCCCAACACTGGCCTGCAAGCTGCCAAAGGGAATGTGTGGAATGTGTGCAGGCACAGCAGAGGCAATCCCTCTCCTCCTCCAGACAGTGTCTGGCTTCGGTGCTCCTGGGCTTTAGTCCCCTGCCCACCTTTATACTACTCCACTAGTTGTACTAACTCCAGAAGGGCATTACTGAACCCTGGAACTACCTCTTACTGGGGTAACAGGCTGAGAGAGACCCTGGTTCTAAATAGTGCACCCCCATGGCTCACTGCAGTGGTTCCCCACCTGTGTCCCAGCATTTAAAGCCATTCCTCCCAGAAAACAGAAGTTGTGTCTAAGCCCACGGCTTAGACACACAAACTCACATTCCAATCTTAAAGTACATGGCAAGCAGAAGGATGCAGAGAACTGCCAATACTCGTGAACGTGGCTCCCTGAAAGCTGACAGCAAAGGAGGCCACCAG